GTTAAAACTTGTAAAGAAAAAATGCAGAGCTTGTCTTGCATCTACATTATTTTTCAATATTTGAGTAATTAAACTTCCTAACGAGGTTATTACAAGACAGAGACATTTCTAGAAATTTCCACTAAATACTGCACATTATTCAAAAGATTTTGTATTAGTTTAATCAAACATTTGAAAGCCAGTAAAAAAAACAAAGAAATTTTCAATGAATAACTGCAGACATTTTCTTTTCAAAACCAAACACATAACTATAAATGTACTTTACCTGAGAATGTTACCAAATATCTAACAGTGAAGAAAGGATCAGAATAGAGAGAAGAATAGAGAGGGCAAGAATTAGAACACCTGGATAGAATTCACAAAGGCATTGAGAATGATGATGATGAGAATGTAAATCCATCTTATTTAAATAATAAAAGTCACTGGCTCAAGTGGATGATCTATTTATTTACTTTTATATATTCAAACACTTTAACTCTCAGATCTGTAAATGCAGGTGTATAAATTTTACACATATGATATATGAAAGGAAATCAAATGTGCTTAACATATAAATGAAATGGTTTTTGTCATTGTAGGTCACTGATGTGTACTTGTAGTCTTCTATTGTGTTCAATAAGCTAAAACAACGTCTGCCCAACCATTTCCTTCCTTTTGACAGTACATTCAAACAAACAAACAAAAAAGAGAAGGAAAAAAAAAATCTTTTTCAAATTAACTTAAATAATACTATATGAAAGGTATATTTCCGCAAATGAGTAATATTAATTAACTGCTAAACCTCTTTACACTGCCAGCTTTTTAAAGTCTTTGCACGCATTTTGAAAAATCAGTGAACGAAGTTCAGGTGATGACATTAATGTTTGAAAAAAAATATGTTTCTAGCAAAATCAATATCCATACCACACTTTCTCACTGCTATGATAGCTTTTTTTTCTGGAACCATAATTCAATATTTGAGTGAAATGTTCATTGCATTAACAAATAACCTCCTACACGCAAGATTTCAATAAATAATACTGCAAATGAAATGAAATTTCCCCCTAGTAGGATCAATATATAGGTGTGTTTTCAATTAGAAAATGTAAGACTGAAATGAGGATTTTTTTTTCTATTTAGAGTTAAACATTTCAAAGACAAGTGTCTTATAGGCCTTAATTATAGTTGGATGATATTGCAACATGTTAGGTATAGGTTTACTTATGTCATAATATCTGTTCTGCTTTTATAGGTAGCTGTTGACATGTGTAACAGCTTTATAGACAGAATTTCTTCCTCTTTAAAAAAACAAAAACTCTACAAACCTGCTAATTTATAAAGATAATAATTTATTCATACATAAAATATCTACAAATTAAGAGACAGAATTCCCAAAGAATATCTACTATAAGACAGAATTCCTATAAAATCTGTATTGTGTTTGAAATACATAACATGACTATTTTAATCAAAAAATGAGAAATAAGATACATCATCTGGAATTTAACAGAATATCGTTTACTTTAAAATATTTCATAATGTTTGCTTTTTGTTTTTTATTCTGTGTAATGACATTAAGTGAAGAGACCAATGTATTGATATGTGGATAGTTTTACACTCTATAACTGAGAACTGTGCTGATACGCCTGCACTATCATCAGCTCGGGCTTTGATCAATTTCAATCAGAGCCCAGGTGACTATTAGTGGTTGTAAGATAATGACCATTACTATCAGCTTGTCAGCACAGTTCTGAAAATATTTCATCCCACACATCAATGAAGTAAAAGTATAGTAACAAAACATGCTACGAAATGGACCGAGACCTACCTCATGACAGGAATATCAAATAACATGGGATGTTTAAGACAGTTTGAAGAAAGTCATTATGAATATTTTAATCAATGAGTTTGTAAGCTTACAAAGCTTAGATAAGCTTAACATATGAATCTTGGTGTACATTGCTGATCTCCCAGTGGTGACACTGATAAAGAAATGTAATAATATAGGAAATTAATATCTTATCTATAATGTATAGGATAAAATAGGAAAGGCAACCAGATGTGAAAATTAGTGCATAAATATTTGACTCCATAGCACAGAGTACATAGCATCTCAATCCATTTATCATTAGGATGTACAGGTGTGTTGTAACCCAATTCCCTACAACCTGTATTTTTCTGACTTCAGAACTACTGATTTGTCAAATTGTCCCATTTTATTATGAATCACACTACTTCACAATAATGGCCCTGCATACCAAGTGATGTTTTTAAATCAAACACTTGCCAAGATATTGTTTAAATGCACTCTATTTTTTTAAAGAAACGAATCTGTGTGGTTTGTGTACCTCATATCTCTTCATAACATGTGTTAAAACTACCGGTGTCACCAGACATAAACATATTATGGCTGTTACTGGTGTTCCATCCATTAGTTATTTATCAATATCTCCAAAAACCAGTATAGTTCTGAATTTCATTACAAAAGACTGAAGTCAAAGGTCTGTGGGAACACATTTTAGGAGGCAACACATTATTTGACCAGGACTTTGATGTGCATGCATTATTCTTTACAAAGTTTTATTCCATTTGTAAAACATTGATATTGTTAAAGAAACCTAGAGAAATAGTGCTCTCAAACAAATATTGCTACAGAAACCTAGACAGTGCCCACATACACAAACATTGTCATAGAAACCAAGACAGTGCCCACATACACAAACATTATTATAGAAACCAAGACAGTGCCCACATACACAAACATTGTTATAGAAACCTAGACAGTGCCCACATACACAGACATTGTTATAGAAACCAAGACAGTGCCCACATACACAAACATTGTTATAGAAACCAAGACAGTGCCCACATACACAAACATTGTTATAGAAACCAAGACAGTGCCCACATACACAGACATTGTTAAAGAAACCAAGACAGTGCCCACATACACATACATTGTTATAGAAACCAAGACAGTGCCCACATACACATACATTGTTATAGAAACCAACACAACCACCACATACACAAACATTGCTATAGAGACCAACACAACCACCACATACACAAACATTGCTATAGAAACCTAAACAGCACCCTCATACACAAACATTGTTATAGAAACCAAGACAGTGCCCACATACACATACATTGTTATAGAAACCAACACAACCACCACATACACAAACATTGCTATAGAGACCAACACAACACCCACATACACAAACATTGCTATAGAAACCAACACAACACCCACATACACAAACATTGCTATAGAAACCTAAACAGCACCCTCACACAGATATTGCTACAGAAACCTAGAAAATGCCCACATACAGATATTGCTATAGAAACCTAGGCAATGCCCACACAAACAGACATTGCCATAGAAACCTAGACAGTGCCCTCATACAGATATTGCTATAGAAACCTAGACAATACCCACATACAGATATTACTATAGAAACCTAGACAATGCCCACACACACAGACATTGTCATAGAAACCTAGACAGTGCCCTCATACAGACATTGCTATATAAACCTAGACAGTGCTCTCATACAGATATTGCTATAGAAACCTAGACAGTGTCCTCATACACAGACATTGATATAGAAACCTAGACAGTGCCCACACATACAGAAATTGCCATAGAAATCTAGACAGTGCCCTCTTACAGAAATTGCCATAGAAACCTAGACAGTGTCCACATACAGAAATTGCTATAGAAACCTAGACAGTGCCCAAATACACAGACATTGCCATAGAGACCTAGGGAATAACTACATCCATTGGCATTGCTCTGCAAACCTTGCAAGTGGCCATGAACAAACTTTACTTTAGAAACCAAAACACTGTCCATATATACAGATAATGCTATCAAATCCTAGAAAGTGCCCATATATACAAACATTGCTACAGAAACCAACAGAGTGCCCACATTCAGACTTTGCTACAAAATCCCAGAGAGTGCAATATCAACCTCTCAAGTGCCCACATATGCATATATATTGCTATAGAAACCTAAAAACCTAAAAAGTGCTATGGAAACCACGAGAGTATCCACATATACAGACATTGCTACATAAAAACTTCCACATCCAGGAGCATTGCTATAGAAACCTAGATAGTTCCCATGTAAATAGACATTGATATAGAAGCTTAGAGAATGCCCACATACAGACATTGCTGCATAAAAACTTAGGCCACATCCAAGAGCATTGCTATAGAAATCTAGAGAGTTCCCATGTAAACAGACATTGATATAGAACCTTAGAGTGTGCCCACACACACAGACATTGCTACATAAAAACTCAGCCCACATCCAGGAGCATTGCTATAGAAACCTAGAGAGTTTCCATGTAAATAGACATCGATATCGAAGCTTAGAGAGTGCCCACATACAGACATTGCTACATAAAACTCAGCCCACATCCAGGTCGTTGCTATAGAAACCTTGAGAGTTTCCATGTAAATAGACATTGATATCGAAGCTTAGAGAATGCCCACACACAGACATTACAAAAGATAGCTATTAAGTATCCACATACATGGACATTACTACAGAATTAAAAAAAAAATCTTCACATACCTAACCTAACAGTGAAGCGTTTATTCCAGAATTGCTACTAGGAAACCATAAAGATGACCACTTGAATACAACATAAATTATCCAAACACACCTTTGTGTCTGAGAGATTAAACTCCAAGATGGCGGGTGATGGTCATACGGAATTTCATATCTAGCTATTCATCAAAGTAAGTAATACAGATGATATAATAAGTGTTATCGCACAGAGGAGAAATTGACACTACCAGTGTCCATTTAGTTATTTTTGCCATACTGCAGGTGACACAGAGAGGAATACATGTATGTTATATATAGGTCAGTTCTGCTAGTAAAGACCACTACAACCAATTTGTAATTAGGAACTCTCTGCAACAGATTGATAATAGCTCTCCTTTATTGCAAAAAGTAAGGTGGCACTTTGGGCAAGTTGACATAAACACAGACTCACTTGTTAGGATCGTTGCTGGACTCCACATCAGAGAAGAGCTTCAGGATGATTGCTGCTGGCTCAAAGTTCTTGGAGACTTTCTGAAGGAGAGCAGTAGTGGTACTGTGCTTAAACAGGCCAAGAGCACGTTTTTTGAGTCCATGGAGCAAACAAGCCTCCACCGCACCTGTAGGATAAGCCATTGAAAGACTTTATATTCATGTCTATAAATGGCATGTCTCTACAAACCCATGTTACTTTTATTACTAATCGCATACCTTTCGGTTTCCAGATTATCGGGTTATTGGAATCTACCTATTAGGCATTAGCCTATTACTGAATATCATAGAACTAAAAAAAGCAATGTTAAAAGTTGTATATTGAACTTACCACTAAGTGATGTGATACTGCTACTTTCCTCATGGACAAACTTCCTGGTCACAGCTTCTTCCATAATCTGTTTGACCTGAAACATTACAAGCAAAATACCCCTATAAATAATGTTTGTGTACGAGCTGTAATGATATAATCTAATGTGATATCACTAGCAATAAGATCAGATATCAATTTACATTTCCATCACAATGTAGGTGGGTGTTAATCAACTCCAAAGGCATCAATTCATCATTCCAAATGTTATGTAAACATACATATTATACCACATGGTATAACAAATTAGCATGTTTTGATTGACTGATAGGATGAACTTTGACCTAAAAGGAAATAAGAAAATGTAATAAGTACGTAGTTTATGGTTGTTTTTTTAAATAATTTGATTTTTATCTGAATTTCTATTCTTTTTTGTGGTTTTTAAGGTAACAAACCAAATTAGTTCTAGTTATAATTTGTAATGAGTTACAAGATCTCCATTTATTTCTTGAATTGTCAATTTTGCATATTAATTAGTGACATTTCATTAAGGTCATGTAAAAAATGCACATGGGTACGAAACAGGTCTGCCTATTCAACTTTGTAAAATTTGACTTTTTATTGTTGTAGAATTAGTAACTTTCAAAGAAGTTACAAAACACTCGCTACAGCTTGCATTTCTTTTTTATATCTATTTTGAAAAATAACTAACTTGAGTGAAAGAAATAACAAATAGAACAACCATTGTTCTGAAACTACTATTTATATAGACCAACAATCTAAATCTCCTTTAACAAAAATGATCTTAGGTGTTCAGGTGGTGCATTGGTAACGCACTCACCTTTCAAAAAGTGTCATGGGTTTGATTCCTTGAACAGAAGTAGAAAGGTAAGGGCTCAACAGCCCAACCATGTGGGATTTCCTCTGGTAATTCTCAAACACAAACCTTTTTGATGATGCAGTTTAATGGTCAAAATATAGCTAAGAGTGACCTTGTTTTAATATTTGACATATCCCTTCAACAAGGTGAACCCATCCTCTATGGATGAAGTTCCAGTAACAAGCAGTGTAGGTCATAGGACACAGAAAAGATTATGGAAGAATGAACAGACAAATAAAAAAACTATAACCGCCTGTTTCCTATTTAGGTGTAACAAGAAAGAAGAAGATAAGAAATTAAAAGGTTTGTTCTTTGTTTGAAATTAGTGTGCCGCAAATGTGTTTGACCTGGTTCAAATTTTAGAATGATTATGCATCAAATACCTTCTGAAAAACAGCATTATCAGTCTTCAAATGAATATTACTATATATGACTTCCTGATGGCTATTTAGTTTTCTCAATCAGTTTGAAAATTGAAGTGGCTAAACAACAAACAAAGGAACAGCTACATATGTTATCTGAGAAAGATCCACTCAGTATCTGCTTATCAAGAAATAGCAATAACAAATCCTATCTAGCAAAATCCAGGATGGCTACTTGTCGAACATTTGTTCCCCTTCCACTAAGTTTTAAGACCAAACTAATCAGGTAAGGACCAAATAAGGAAAGTCCACAGATCAAGATTAAGTACAATTTATCAGGTAATTCTCAGGAAACATTACAATTACTAAATGAAAGATTGCTGCCTATCTGGCACATTCTTATTCTGATCAGTTTCAAAACTAAGTGAGTGCAGCTTGTACCCACTAGGGTGAATTAATTACATAACAGACAAGGCAAATAAAAGATCTATTTCACAATTTTCAAGTAAAAGCAATTACACACATTAACAGATACACACCAGTTGTCTATTGATAAAGCATACCTATAAAGCCACTTAAATAAAATGCAAAATTTACCCTTGATGCACTAAAATTTTGCCTCTAGTGAATATTTGTGTTTCAAGGTCATACAATTGATTATTGTCTCCACCATCATGAAAGGTCATAAAATATTTGAACTTCAACAGGCTTTTAACCTAAGTTTAACTTGACAATACTAACATGCAAACCTTACAACAGCTTCAAGAAATAAAAGACACTTATGGTTACATCTAAAGTGCTTGCATAATACTCCGGAGTATACCTAATTTTTATTTTCACATCAATGTGACCATGATGTTGTTTGTTGCTGAAATAATACAATTTTATATCCTCCCCTCTGTACAATAATGTGTACTACTATCACACCCCTATGGATATATTGATTTACAGAGAAATGAAAGATAAGAGTAACCTTTTTGTACTGTATGAAACGTCAGGTTATCAAAGTTATCTACAGTGTTTGAAATCCAATAGATATTTGTCAGTGAAAGGTTATGAAGTATTTGAATAATTAATTTGAAATTAATCAGAGATGTGAAACTGAATGACAAAACATCAAAGAGAACATTGACATATCAACAGAATCTTGAATTTGATGAAATGAAAGATAAATATTAACAGAAAAAATATTTTCACAGAAACTCCTGAAAAATATGGAAGGGAAATAAGACCAGCTGTTCAGTAAGGTTAAGTGTTTTCTTATTCTTTGACAACCTCTGTCAATTGTAAATTTTGTTAAATCTAAGTAAGTAAGTAAGGCATACTAATGAGCATTAAACACATCAAACTTCATATTGCAAAAGGAAATTGAATACTTCAAAATAAGACTATTATGATGACTAAATTTTCCCCGTTATGTTCATCAACCTGCAGCTCTCAAATCCCTATGTTGTGAGTTTGTTTTCCAGTTGCCAACATCTTGCATGGAAATTGTGATATTAGGATCAAGCCCTCGAATATTTCTTTTAATTGCAACATGTAATCATCATCAAATGTTTATAGCTTGAACCATATACGTACATGTTCACATTCAACACTGATAAGTTCTTTATCCATTCTTTTTTTAATGTCATGGCTTTATGAAAAAAGAAAATCTTTGATTCCATATTGATTAATTTACAAATGTTTCTTGTTTGCAAACAAAACAGAATTCTAAAGTGAGGTATCCATAGAATGCTAAATTTCAAGTTATTAGTATTTCAGAATTACAACATTAAAATGTAACGTTAATTTTCGTAGTTATATTAATGATACTGCTATGTATTGTATGCCAAAAAATATCAGTTATTTAAATTCATCTAAACTAATTTTTTTATCTAAAGACTGCTAATTATGCCATAAAATAAAGCAGAAGAAATCTGTTGTCAAGACACTATATTACAACAACACAAAGGTCATTTATTTTTTGTAATTTATTACACAATCAATATGAAGAGATGGATATCTGTGTTGGCGTAATAGAGAGACCGAAGAATTGGTTAAGATATATACAGACTGTTGTAATTTTTTGTCCATGGAGAAGATTATAACCTGTCATTTCTATATATTTTATCTCTTAACTTTATTTGTACAATCCTCACTGTGATGTGAATAAGAAATGTATTCAACAGGGAAAACAAAGATAAATAGGGAATAAAAATCACTTACATCGATAACAGTAGCGAAAAATCCAAGATGGCGACCGAGGATATCGGTCAGGTATAGGCTCTTATCCGGCGATAAGCACACCCCCTACTCTTGACTCAATTTCATGCACAGGCCCCCTGGGCTTATTGGCGGAGAAATACAGTATATTTCTTTCCTTTCCAGATTTTGATCTTGGTTCATTATGTAAAGTGACTGACTCTCTAAATAAAGCCTTTCTATATAAATAAATTCTCCAAAAATCAGTTAATTCTTAATCAATATGGTAAACATTATGATGGTTCCAACACAATCCATGTGATCTAATTTACTGTGTGAAACAAAACAAACAACTTCACCATCAGTATAATAGACCTGCAGTGAGGAAATTTAATAGGCCAGTTGTCACATAATTCCATATAATGTGCTGAAAACTTTAAATCATAACTGACAATTTAATGATGATATAAATTGGTTTTAAATGTAAAAGTAAATTGCCACATGCACATTCAATAGATGTTACAGATATCTCCACAGATACATGGAAATGTTCATGGAATGTGCTAATGTTTCCTAAATTCTACCTTTGCCTTTTTAAGTCACCTCTCTTTTCAATACAAAAGTGATGTCACAAGTGTGATTATATACATGTACATAATTCATGACCCCTGAACAGGAATGTACGACAGGCAAATAATTCATGCAAATAAATAGATTATCTATCTCAAAGAATAGTAGATTATTTTGAAAAAATAAGTAGATTATCTCTAAGGAATAATAGATCATCACAGAGAATAAGTAGATTATCTCAACAAAATAAACAGATTATCTCTAAGGAATAATAGATTATCAGAGAATAAGTAGATTATCTCAACAAAATAAACAGATTATCTCTAAGGAATAATAGATTATCACAGAGAATAAGTAGATTATCTCAACAAAATAAACAGATTATCTCTCAAGAATAACAGATTATCAGAGAATAAGTAGATTATCTCAACAAAATAAACAGATTATCTCTAAGGAATAATAGATTATCACAGAGAACAAGTAGATTATCTCAAGAAAATAACTAGATTATCTCTAAAGAATAATAGATTATCACAGAGAACAAGTAGATTATCTCAAGAAAATAACTAGATGATCTCTAAAGAAAAGAAAAGTAGATTATCTCATAGGAATAAACAGAGGGTAAGTGGATTATTTTTAAGAAAATTTAAAGATTTTCTCTTAAGAATAGCAGATTGCCTTAAAATAATAAACAGAGAATAAGTAAATTTTCTTTGGAGAATAAGTAGTCTCTAAGGAAATAAGTAGATTATCCTTGGAACAAATTCAAATTATCTCTAAAGGATAAGTAGATTGTACTGAGTAAACTGAACAAGGAAATGGTATATAAACATTATTATAGTAGAAATAGATTATCTTTAAAGTAAAAAGAATATGTTTATTGTCTCAAGACATAATTATAATTTTCTTTAGAGAATAAGTATATTATCTCTAGAGAATAAGACAACTGTCTTTAAGCACGAGAGTAAAAAATAGATTATCTTTAAAGTAAAAGAATATTGTCTATAGAGAATATGTAAATTGTCTCTCGACACAATTTGGATTTTCTCTAGAGAACAAGTAAATTATCTATACACATAATTAAAGAATAAGATTGATTTT